TATCCTATACTTATGATTACCATATTAATACCACCTAACACAAAACTCACTGGATTTGCGCAACGCTTTATCTTGTTTGATTTTGAAGTCACGTTAACTTAAACTTCGAAAAGCTAAAAATAGTTATGAAATTTAGATTGGGTCAATGTATTTAGATTCTATATTATCAGAATAAAATCAAACTGATATATTATTTGAGATCTAGGTAATAGTACTCTAAATGGTCGTATGCAAGACCTGGGTCTGATACTAATAGACTATATGGAAACAGGGTTTTAATACTGTATCGGTTCTAATACGCATTAGACAAATAATAAAATTTATAAAACTCTATATTATCTTTACATAGTTTGTTGCGATACGTAGAATCTGCGCAAACTTGCAAGTTACACGAACTCGGTAAAGATCTAGTATTTTAATTGGCTGTGATTAATATAAATAGATTCGAATTTTACATTTATTAATTAAAAAAATGCTTTCAAAAAAACAAAATACAAATAAAACAAAAGAAATAAAATGTCATCTTGCAGAGTTAGTGCAATATCAATGTGATATACAAAAAAATAGGGTCATATGTGTTCCATTTATACGAATTTTTAAAAGGTTGAATTCTGTATTTTTTTATATAGACAGATATGTATACATATATGTATTTAAAATTTTTTATTTGCTTATAAAGATGTCAAAGTAGACCAACTGTAGAAGTGACACCTATTTATGATTTAACTGGTAACCCAATTTCTAATGGGTAAAGCAATGTTTTATTTAATTGTTTTTTTTATAATTTTGATATTATATTACGTATTACATATTAATACCATTTTATTATTAAAAAATTAAATTGGTAGTAATGAACCAATTTTTGATCTAACAGATTAAAGATTTTGTAAATTTTAATGCTGTCAAAGATTTAACGTAGTCAAATGACCTACAGATACTGTATACATATACAGTATATATATATATATATTTGATATAGAACCTTAATGCCTCGATTATCACCAATAAAATTTATTACGTATATAACAATAAATGACCTATTACAGTACGTATTAAAAAATACATGCACGTACGTACGTACATGGCCTCAACTGTAACCATAAAATTTTAAAGCAGTAAAATTGTGAAACCCCTGGCAAAACTCTAGAGGCTGATTTGTAGGGTGCATATGAAAGAATTCTCTAAGATGTCAAAGTTAAATCTCCGTCAAATGAAAAATGAAGCCTTAAATTTTGTGCTAAACATTATCTGTGGCTGTTAGACACGACAGCATTTGATAAAATGCGGCTTATATGAAAACCCGCCACAAAATTCAGCAGATCATCCGATCAAATTTTTAGGATCAGGTAAACGCAAGAAATCAAAAACGAAGCGAAAAATCGCGAATTAAAGTTTTATGAATTTAGAAAAAGGGATGGTAGAATTAAGAATTTAAGAAAATTAGAACAGAGGATGTCGGGATTTATTGTGTTTAGACCTTCACCTTTTCTCGAGAAACACAATCATATTACCGTAAACTGCCGGATACAAGATCCCCCTAGATACAATATCAGACCCCTATGTACTATACCCGGTCTATAACATGGGATAAAGTTTCCCCCCTAGATACAGTATCAGACCCCTATGTACTTTACCCGGTCTATAACATGGGATAAAGTTTTGGTAAAATGTAAAAGACCAGAGGTATATATATAATAGGAAAAAACTAATAAATAGAATAAACCCCCAGTTATCAGTCCCATACCCATACAAGAGACCCGCGGGTCTAGTTATAGGTTTTAATATTGGTGAAATGTAACAGACCTGGGTCTTGTATCCGCAGTTTACGATAATGTTCAACAAATAGGCCTGTTGATAATACTCTTCCATCTTTACCAATTTCATTCCCCCAAATTCATTTTAACTATACTTACTACCCAAAATAAAATTCTAAATTCCAAACTTAATTAAATTCTCCCAAATCCCAAGAGTTTTTATCGGCGAGTATAATTTACTTAGATATTCTCTTGATAATTATTATATAAGCCCTAGATATATGAAGGAAGTCAGGCAATTGATAATCTAATTTAATGGTAAAAAATAAATAGCGTTAATGAATTGTGAAGAAATTGATAAATTGGTTTGAAGAATCAATTACAGATTTAAGTAAATCTCTAGAGATTGAACTAAATATACGTATTTGCATTAGAAAGAATGCGGTTTTTAAGTAAATGAATAAATGATTAGAAATTGAGCCAAATAATATAGGGTATCTAAATGTTACCAAAGGAAAGAAAGTTTGAATTTAAATTTACATAGTACCAAACTTAACCTTGAGTAAGACGTGAATAAAATTTAGAAATGGTGAAACTGACGCTGAAACACCGGCATCTCTAACCCTGAGAGAAATTTTGATAAAAATGCTGGCACAGTAACAAATAGTATCGAAACGACCAAAACACGTACTTTAATTACGCTAAGTCGGTACACTGAAAACTTGAAATTCTTACAGGTTTCACTTGGCAAACATTCATTGTATTTGCTTAAAACAGATGATTTGTGGACTTTGATAACTATATCATACCGTAGATCAGATTTTTCAGGGGAGCAATTATCGTTATCAGATATTGATAAGCAAATTATTATCGTTATCAGTTTATACATTTTCTATCATAAAAAACCGAAAAATGCTTTCATTTACCAATGTAACTCGGCCTTTCTTTCGTCTTTCACCAGATTTAGGTTTCGTCTTTCGTCATTTAAATAAAAAGGTTTCGTCTAACAACTACATAACACAACAAGGTTTACCAAGTAAAGCTCATATTTTGCACCTTTATCGTTCTCTCTTACGAGCAAGTAAAACCTTTTCAAGTTACAATTTTAGTGCTTATGCATACCGACGAACAAGAGACTCATTTCATGAACATAAAAATGAAGCTAAGCCAGATAAGATTATAGAACTTGTTAAGAAGGCTGAACATGAATTAGCAATTTTGCAAAGACAAGGATATTTAAATAGTCTTTATGCTGTTGACAAATTGGTAGTAGAGCAAAGCAATAGACAAAAAGTTCTTTAACGCAGACCTGGGGTTTAGAAATATGGTTGGTTAATTGGTACTTAGCATTTTCTAAGAACTTTATCTTTTTTATAAAAGGTTAACCGATTTTTTTAAATAAAAAAAATTATAATTTTGTAACTATTTTATCTTTTTTTTTGTATATTTTAAAAAAATTATAATTATAATTAAACAAATAAAAACTAACCTATAATATTATAAAAACAACAAAATTAATTATGCTTTTAAATACAGTAACTTTTGGGCATTGTTATATAAAAAACTTTGATAGCTTTAAATAGCATTTTTAATTATTTATCAAAGCTTTTTTTTTTTTTAAAAAAAAAAAATATTTAGAAATTTAATATAATTTTTTAATTTAAAACTACAGTATATATATATATATGCAATATAAAATATTTTAAACCAGAACTTTTTTTAAAATAGTCAAATTTTTTAAAAAAATACTAAATTTTAATTGGTTAATATTTTAAAAATTTATTATTTTTTTAATTTTTTGTTAAGCAATTACTATTTGTACATTAGTGTATATTGTAGTATAAAGAACTGGCCTTGTTAACTATACTACTCGACTTAACATGAAGAGGGTAAAGATATGTATATACAAAAGAAAAAGCTCAAAGAAAACTCAAAGAATATAAACTTAAAGTAACTAAAAATATAGGATATAAGATATAAGAAATAAGAAAAAACTTTCAAGGAAAATACAATAAAAATAGAATAAAAAACTCAATAAAACACTATAAAAACTTAATAAAAAAAGTATATATATGGTATATAGTGGGTATATAGTTAAAAATATAATATTTGTTTATTAAAAAAAAAGTTAAGAAAATACAAGTTAAAATCTATCTTGTCTTGAATAAAAAGGTAAAATTTATATAACTTTTAAAATATTAAAAAATTTCTATTATATTAATACAAAGTAATAAAAAAATAAAGATAAAAGGGCAAAAATCTCTTTTCAATAATCACTGTGTCTAAAATTGAAGCTAAAGAAAACCCAAACATAAAATACTCTAGTACTAAGTATATATCCAAAACCAGTATTGGCAATTTTTAGTAGCCAAACAATTTTTTTGACCTTTGGCTAGCCAATTAGCCAACAGCCAACTGGCCAATAGCCAAACTTTGGTTAAAATTTCTAACTTTTACAAAATTAATCAATTATATTTCTAGTCTTACTATACAAAATATTTAGTTATTTTGGCCAAATAATTTTTTTGCTTTTTTTAGCTATTGGCTATGGCTATTGGCTATAATAAATAGCTAGCCAAGTGGCCAAGTAACAATACTGTCTAAAATAGCTTTAAAAAAAAAATTAGACAAAAAAAACTAATCTAAGTTTCTTAGAACAAGTTTGCTCAACACAAGCTTAGAACTACAACTTTTTGAGAAATTTTTAAATTTTTACAAAAATACAGTCGACTCTGGATATAACGAACCTTTTTATAACGAACTCACTTTATAACGAACTTTTTTAGCAAATTTATTATAGAGTTCGGTATAAAAACATAGCAAATTCTCAATAAGGAACTTTTTAAAAATTTTTA